ATTTTATTTGATATTTTCGAACCTTTACTTCAAATTTACTATATAAACCCCTGTACTTCGTCTACAACAAAAGAGAAGAGTTCCCCCAGTTCCTAGTACGAGAGGGCAGTGTCCCTAGTCCATTTCTATCCATCCAAACCCCATACATAACCCCCTACAAGTCCCAAGCTTCGATTTTTGAATCTATGAGCTTTTAGCCTCGTATCTCCCCTATTTTGATCTTGCTTGACTCTATACTTCGTCCTCAGTGGTACTTGAGTGTACTACACCCATTCCAGTCGATTCCAGCCCTTTCTATCCGTCCCCAGTTCTTATATTTCCGAGGTACTAGAGTGCTCATACTAGTACTAGTACGAAGGTACGAGAGGCTAGTACGAGGTTCGAGGTTCAAGTACGAGATACGAGGCTAGTACGAGAGGGTCCAGATACGACTGGCTATGAGGTTCGTCTCATATCCCTCCCTTGTATAGACAGACTCTGGTCTTGGGAATCCAGGAGCCCCCTCGCACCTTTACAGCACAGTGCCTCGAATCTACCTACTTCTGTGACTGCAGCATAGCCCGGAGGGGTGGTGTTGTGTGTTAGGGTAGTATCTGGGGCGCAGCGTATCAGCGGCGCATGTTCAATGCGCTCCGCAAACACATTGGCTCCATATGTCATGTATACCTTGATGACGTTGTCATCTGGTCGCAATCTTTAGAAGAACACCGTCGTAATGTGGAAACCGTACTACAATGTCTACGAGAGAACAAGTTATATTGTTCTCCAAAAAAGACTGACCTGTTTTGCTTGTCAATTCACTTTCTCGGGCATTACATCTCGGCCAGAGGAATAGAAGCGGATGGGGCCAAAGTAGCGAAGATTCTTGATTGGCCAGTACCGCGATGCGCATCGGATGTTTGGTCTTTCCTCGGCTTGGTGCGGTACATTTCTAACTTCCTTCCCGCCCTGGCTAGACACACTTCCGTGCTGAACTCATTGACCACAAAAGATGCAGAGAAAGATTTCCAATGGACCAACGCACACTTTATGGCTTTTGAAGCCGTGAAGACCTTGGTCACCTCTAGGGAGTGTCTGACGGTGATCGACCACAATAACATTGGCAACAACCGCATCTTTGTATCTTGTGATGCAAGCGACTTCTGCTCTGGCGCGGTTCTTACTTACAGCGAGTCCCCGGAGACTGCACGACCTGTCGCTTTCGAGTCTCAGCAGTTCTCGGGAGCTGAACTGAACTATCCTGTTCACAAGAAGGAGTTGTTGGCAATTGTGCGGGCTCTACGGAAATGGCGCATGGATTTGCTCGGTGTCCCTTTCACTGTCTTCTCGGATCATCGGATACTTGAGAATTTCGCTGAACAAAAACACCTCTCACGCCGACAAGCTCGCTGGCAAGAATTCCTCTCACAATATGACTACAAAATTGTGTATCTTGCTGGCAAAGACAATGCCCCAGCCGATGCCATGTCTCGCAAACCACCACCTTCTCAGGGTACTACCGCGGCTATTTCTTCCCTGCGAGTACAAGGCGACGCTGAGTGGCTCTCTGCCGTGAAGAGTGGATACACTGACGATGCCTGGTGTACCCGCCTCATTGACTCTTTATGGGATGCTGTAGCGCGATCTGCCATCGGTGCTGACGCCGCCGGTGTTAGTGCAATTGATGCCTTGAGTAGAGGATGGCTTGACAACCGCGACCGCTATGGAATTTCTGTACGTGCCGGTCTGCTACACATTGGTGACAGACTGGTGATCCCTAGGGTGCCGAAGTTGCGTGAAGATGTCTTCGCCCTTGCCCACAATGCCCTCAGACATTGGGGAAATGAGAAATCGTACGCCGCTATTCGTGCGAGTTATTACTGGCCAAATATGCGTAAAGAGCTCGAGACCCTATATGTCCCGGCATGTGAAGCTTGTCAGCGTAACAAATCCTCCACGAATCTCCCGACAGGACCATTGCACCCTCTACCTGTCCCCGACGCACGCGGTAATTCTATTGCTATGGACTTTGTTGGTCCTCTGCCAGACGATGAAGGTTTCAACTGCATTCTCACCATTACAGATCGTCTTGGCGCGGATTTGCGTATCATACCGTGCCGCACGGATATATCCGCCAAGGACCTCGCAGCTCTGTTTTTCCGCGAGTGGTATTGCAAAAATGGACTGCCCTTGGACATTGTCTCCGACCGTGACAAGTTGTTCATGTCCAAATTTTGGAAAGCACTGCATTGTCTAACTGGAGTTAGACTTAAGATGTCCACCGCCTTTCACCCTGAGACTGACGGTTCGAGTGAGCGGAGCAACCGGACAATTATACAAGCTCTGCGTTACCACGTTGAGCGTAACCAGAAAGGTTGGGTCCGAGCTCTACCTTTAGTGCGCTTCAACCACATGAGCACCGTCAACGCTTCCACTGGATTCACCCCCTTCCAGTTGTTATTCGGTCGTCATCCACGCGTAATTCCCCCCCTGGTCACAGTGGAGACAGATACCCCTGCAGAATCCTTCGATGCAGCACATTTCCTCAAACGTCTGGACGCAGATGTCATGGAGGCCCAAGACAACTTGCTTTTAGCCAAGACTAACCAAGCGTATCACGCGGACAAATCTAGGAACAGCGAGCATGTGTACCAAGTGGGTGACAAAGTGTTTTGTCCACCTTCCATCGCCGTCGTGAATTCATGCAACGAGGCGACGACCGTGTAGCAAAATTTATGATGCAATGGGACAACCGTGTAGCAAAATTTATGATGTGATGGGACAACCGTGTAGCAAAATTTATGATGCGATGGGACGGTCCATACAACGTGGTCCAAGCGTGGCCGAATTCCTCAGTCTACACCTTGGATTTACCCGAACATTCAAACGCATTTCCAACATTCCACTCCTCATTACTGAAGCCTTATATTCACAACGACGATGAATGTTACCCCTCTCGTGCTCGTGAAGTGGAGCCTCCCCCCGTCCTTGATCCCGATACTGGAGAGAAGCACCAGTTCGTCGAACGTATCCTCGATCGTGGCCGTGGATGGCAGTATTTGGTACGCTGGGTCGGTTCTGGACCCGAACATGATCTTTGGTTACCTGGCTCTCAAGTTGATGACCTCAAGGCGCTAGATGTTTTCTTGCAAGAACATAACCTTGACAGTGACGGCTAATTCTGGTGGATGGGAAGGAGTGTAACCCTAGCAGTTACACATGACACTGACTCCCTTTGACATTGACTCCCAATCGGTCCACGTAGTACATTATTACTTAATTAAGATACTTCTACCGCGCTCCCCCTTCACTCTCCGACGCTTCCATGGACACTCACATTAGTATATAACACTCTCCTTCAACCCCGAGCTCCCCATTTCTTGCTCCCGGTTTGAAGGTACGCTATTCGTCGCACCACTTACATACTACTTACCGTACTTACATTCCTTGCTCCCGGTTTGAAGACTACATTTCTTGTCTGTTCTTCCTCTGAGTGAACTCTCCCCCTGGGCGAGTTACACCTCAATGCGGTTCAAATGCACTTTGAGTAGGAGAGATATAAGTATGTAAGAAAAAGTCGGAAGTCTTCTTTTTATATATGGTGAGCAACGGAGAATGATAGGACTCAACAACTACTACAATAGTGCTCAATCTACCCAAAACTATATTCCGTTGCTGACTTGGCTCAAAAAGGATGGCCGCCGCCGTGAGCGCCAGCGTCGGTAACCCAAATTTTGGGGTCAGCGCATGTAACCTTCCGGCCTGCGGCCGGTTTTTCGGGGCATTTACCTGCAAGTTTCTCGCCTCACGAGGGTCAAATTTGGGGATCGGGATGTAAGTTCGCGCCCCTACGGGGCCAATTTTTCGGGCATCGAAGTTTATGCGGGACTTTCGGGGGTCCTATGCGGGGTTCACGGTAGCCACAGAATGATCCAGAACCTCTGGTGGGCCAAGAGGAGCATGTCACTGGAATGCAGTGGTGGGCGGACTGTCTTGAACATGTATCATTTTCAAAGCATTAAAATTGCAGCTGGCTGTGCAATTGATAGTACCTGCTTCATTAGAATTGCAGCTGGCTGTGCAATTGATAGTACCTGCTTCATTAAACAAATGCGCTGTATGTTTCGACTGAGACTCTTTGCGGACGGAAGAAGACGAAATATCATTAGTTCCACTGAGTATGAGTCGCTTGCCAGTTCAGGGAGATTGCCTTGAAAATAAGAGTCATAATGGTTTTTATGGTATAGTTTATATGTCCGATATGGTGTAACGGCTAACATTTCCGCCTTTCATGACGCGCTGATTCGCGGGAGCCCGGGGTTCGACTCCCCGTATCGGAGTATTCTTTTTTGCTGCATTGTAAAGAGCTTTTTGCTGAACGTTGAGACCCTTTACTTTACCTTTACACTGTAAATACAGAGAAAGGGTTGTAACAATTTATAAAGAGTAAAGGGTAAGTAGAAGACTAATACATATAATGTTTGATCTGGAGGATGAAGGAAATGCAGAAGAGTTTTCTTATTGTATTGCGGGCATTGTTCTTGAATTTCGTGCACTAAACTCCTAAACGCTCTCTCAAGTTAAAGTGGATGTGACTCTGTGAGCAACTCAGGCTGCATTGTTGATTTGGAAAATTGGGTGCTTATGGATGCTGTTACGATCTGTTTCAGCAGTACGCCTCAAGTCACACACACACAATTGCATTATCAAGTCGACGCTAAGCTACGTATGCTGAATGCATATTGGAGTAAGCCCTTCAGTTTATTCGGGTGGAAGAAACAGGCGGGGGGCCGCATCATAGGGTTGATCTCTCTATTTTCCTTTGGTTTAGCTAGATACTGACTAGTACTGACACCTGAGTACTGTTGCAACAGTGAAAGGCGTGATCACTATAAAAAGGTATTGCAATTCACCAACAAACATCTTGACATGCAGGATACCAGCTGGCATCGTGAAATGACTCATAGATTGCGTCGTGCTCTCAGATAGCACGGGAGGCAGCCGTCAGATGAATTTTCATATTGTGCAAAATCAGGGCTATGAAAGATAATACCATCGATGACAGAGGATAAGGCCCACATTACTGGCATGCGCAAAGTCCGATTCCCAAGCGAAGCTTGCATTCAAGATGCATGTGTATCACACGTGTAGGCAGAATAGCCAAAACACCGCTCGTTGAATGTAGGTGATAGAGCTCGGCTATTTTGAGGGTGGCCTGATGTGCATCTTTTACGACAACCTGCGGGGGTGAATTAACATTTCGGAGATCCTCCAGACTTCTCGGCAATTGAAAGCAGTAACTGAATAAGATGATTCCTGTAGAGACCAGATGGCGCACCGTGGGAAATGCTTCATACGCCGTGAAAGTCAGCATAGAGGGTAATTCTGCAGAATGCGGCTGGCTTCATGAACTGAAGCGAATCACCAAGGCGCTGTGAGCGGATTTCGTTGCGACGCTCCGGAGACGTGACGAAAATCATGCCTCGGCAACTATTACAGCGAGACACGTCAGATCCTCCATCGATGTTTGGGATAGAGGAAAGTCGTACGGCATACTATGGGAAAGTATACCGCCCAAAGTGAAAGCGCACCGGCACTACGTAGATGATTTATCGCAAGGGGAAACGGCTGCAGGAGCTTCGCGTAGTCCGAGATCTAGGCTTTGCCACTTCGGTATGATTATCGATGGAACGCAGCGACGTCTATTGCCGTGCAGGGTTTAATAGAGCAAGATCTATGGCGACGTCAGTCATCTAAGTTTAAGATCCATTTATCACAAGCCGTACCTCATCAAGTGATGCTTCTTATGAACAGACCTTGAATATGAGGCTTCTCTTGAGTAGCGCATCACCAGCACTCACGGCCAGATGCTGAAATTTCATTTTGAGATCCGAGTATAGATCACGATTTTCAGATAACACGTCGTTTCAGCAAGTTAGACCGTGAGAGGATGCATCACATTTAGTGCCAGTAAACAGCTTTTAAGAACCAGCTGCGCGGATAGTGTTCAACCCGTATCGTGTGAGCGCTGTAGTTCCGTCCGGTACCAGCACGCACTAGGGAGATTGGAAATGAAGCAACATAGTTTTAGTAGTGGGGGCGATCGGATGGTGCCTGTGCTCCGAGGGTCTGCAGACGAGTGTGGGGTGTACAACTCCCTCGAAGACAGATGCTATATGCATCAGCAGCGGGAGGACAAACGTTGCGACTCCAAATGGGGACAACGTGCGATAGTACAAGATATTCATTGGCCAGGTGTCTGGCTCATAGAAAGGCGCATCTGGTCGGAGAAGCTTCGCGGTGTCATACAGAGAGCACGTCTGAGGTGTATGGTCAAATCAACACCTAGACGCGTCATGGGCTCATATGGCATACATCAAGACAAAGTGCTGAGCTGTGCCTCACAAATAGAGGTGACTGGGCTGAAATGAATCGCACGAGGTCAGATCACGATCATACGGATAGGGAGGTTCACTTCAACAATGAGTAACTCCTTTCAAAGTCCCTTTGAAGGAGAGTTTCGAGTAGAATGCTACGCTTTGTTCATTCAACGTATCTTCCGCAGCGGTTGCTGTGTTTTGGTGAGTCAATGGGAGGATGCGAGAGCCTGAGGAGCATGTGGTGGTCGGGTCCAAGCTTTGTCAAGAGATACAAGCGCTTGAATTGCGCCCCTGACCCTAACCCCCAAATAGATAACCGGAGTTTGAAAGGTTGCAGTTTCGAACCCGGAAACTCTCTTTTTCTTTTTCATCCTCATCATCCACCTCGAGTCATCTCGCTCAACGTCCGAGTCTTCTTGCAAACCTGGACTCTCTGGAGTTCTCACCAGAGAGGAGTTCATTAATCGTTTGTTAGCCTCAAACTACGATTACCACTTTGCAAGAATCAGTTCATGGTTTCACCGCACATTCGCAATTGAGGTCCAAGAGCGAAACGCGGAGAAACGACTCATACCGACGTTGAGCAGGTTCAGGCAAAAGGATATACATTCACAAAGTGAGTCAGAACCACAATTTGTACATATGAAAGCCTCGTGTATAGGACAAAGCAGCAGCCGAGGACAAAATTTTGTAGGCACGCGGGCTGTGCATTGTTCACCAGCGTCCATTTCAGGCAGGCTCGGCCGCTTGCGGTCTACTGGCCCAAGGGTTGTTCTTATAAATACGACTGTCGTGATTTTCAATAATCCTAATGAGACCTCTTCCCTTCCCTCAGTTTCCTACCCAAAAGGTCATTCCTTATGATTGCCCTTAGTCCCGGATCGCTCTGCGACGTTTGCGCAGAGGAATACGGGCCGCACAACTACCCTCATTCTATCCCTTGCGGTAAGTACCCTCGTCAAAATATCGGATGGTCATCAAACTGATCCCTAATGCTCCGGATCCGCCTCTTCTAGGTCATATATTGTGCTTGAATTGCTGCAACAACATCATCGAAAAAACATCACCACGACTCACCCCATGCTGTCCATTTTGCCGAGAGGTCTTCACCAGTGAGGGGATCCGTCTCATCCGTGTTGACTTTACACCTACCAGCAGTGGTTGGTCAACACCCCGGGTCGCAGGCTTCGGCGTTCATGATGTGCTTGTTGAGTCAGACGTGGAGGACTCCCTCTCTTCCGGCCTGAGGGCGAGAGAGCAAGCAAAGAGGTTGGAGTACAAGGTGGCCCGGGTGGCTGCCAAGAAGTGCTCTGTTGAGGAAGTAACAAAGTTGCATAAGGAGTTACAGGATTGGTTGTCTTCCAAATTCAAGCCAAGAGAGCAGGTACGTCGCTATATGTTGTTTAATGTCAAGGTGTTTAACTTGCTCTTTCATAGACATCTTCTCTGGAACTCAGCGCCGCCTTGCTTCGTGCGATACTCATGAACCATCTGGCCGACTCCGAAGCCAGGGCTCATCTCAACCAGAAAATCGAAGACATGGAGATGTCGAAGACGAAACTGGAGGGGGAGCTGCGCAGGTGCGTTTGAAATCTTCTTTGTGTTCCTGATGCAAAATTTTAATGATCACACATCTCCATCTGTTTTAGTTTGGTACGTGAGAATATGTTGTTGTTATCTGCAGTGTACTGATACTTTGATTCTAGCGAACTGAATACTCTCAAACAGCCCAAGAGTGCCAATCACTCCGCGCGGAACTGAATCGAGTGAAGCTCAAATCAGCTGCCCCTTCGCTTGGTGTGCCAAGTACCCCCCCGCCGAAATCCTTCGCATCCTTACAAAATGGCGCTCTCCTCTCCCCGCCGCGTCCTCAATCAACGACGACATCATCGACGTCTGATCCGCGATCCAGGGCAACTTCTCCGACATCGCCGACGCCGTACAGCCACGCGAATGTTCATTCTCCCCTTGCATCAAGAGTTGGGATGCTTTCGAACACATCTCACGCACGGTCTGCTTCTGCGCAGCTGCCCGCCACCGCACTACGGTCTCATACTCCCGCCACCGCACCTCGTTCACATACTCCCGCTGCGCGCACCGGAACTCCTGCTTCTCCGGGTCGGCCGGAACTTAAGACGCGCAGGATGTCGGTATCGACTCCGTCCCCCCTAAAAATGGCGCGCTCAACTTCGAGCGGATCCACATCGGATGTTATCCTAATTCAGAAGGAGCGGGATAGCGAGCGAGAGAAGGACAGGGACGTCAAACGTGTACAGCTTATTCAGCGTTGGATGCCAAACCTTGAGTCGGCCAGCCCACCCACAGGCCGTTTCAACTCGTACTTCCACAATCCTAGCCCACCCACAACTATCCCTCGTTCGAGAACCATCTCCGCTGCATCGGCAGCATTACACCCCCCGCTTCGGCACAAAACCCCGCTTTCCGCGAACTCACCTTAGGTGGGCCGTTCGGTTAGGGGACCCAGCAACCATTACTACCTCACAGACTGGTTTCTGCTTTTCACTTCTACGCTCCGGATTGATTAACAGTGTGTTGTGGCTAGGTTATCTTACCTTGCGTTTTGTCGTAATGGATTGTCCATAGTCTACTTTCATTGTAGATATTTACGGTTAGGCTCACCTGATCTCTGTCCATAGATTCGCTTTGACTGACTTCTTTTTGTTCTCAGGATTCTATTTCTTCTTTTCCCCTTCCGGTCTCGTCTCGTTCTGCTTTGCTCTCTCGCCGTTTCCATTCCCGCCGTTCCCACATATCCCGAGCGGCACCATACCATCCTACTGTCTGTGCGCTACCCATCCCGTTACCCATCTGCGATGCCTCTGATCACTACCTTCAACCTCTTCGTTAATTTCTAGCGCGTTATACCCAGTGACTGATAAGGTCCCTCTGTAGCACCATCGACTCTGTTGTTCATTATCTTTATTTCTACTTCTTTTTCT